GTTCGTGACGCGGACAGTGCACGTTCTGGCGCGGTGATTAGCATAGGGCAGAATAAAGCATTTCGGTAAAGCTGAAATGCAGAAGAATACGGTAAAGAAGAAAACGGAAATCGCTATGCTTTAGCATGGTGACTTCCGTTTTCTTGTTCCCTGCATTCTTCTGCATCTCAGCTTTACCGGAATGCTCTATCAGGGGACGGCTTGTCCTTGGTGATACCGAGGCATCTTTAGCAGCGCGTCAACGCCTACGCCAACCCCCCGGATGACAGCCAGCTTGACGAGCAGGTGCAGTCCGCGCGTGTCGAGGACGCCGTCGTCCTCGTGGTACCGGGCGGCGCGGGCACCAGCAGGATCGCGTCAACGCCGACGCCAAACCCCCGGGTGACAGCCAGCTTGACGAGCAGGTGCAGTCCGCGCGTGTCGAGGAGGACTCCGTCGTCCTCGTGGTACCGGGCGGCGTGGGCACCGGCAGGATCGCTTCAACGCCGACCCCACGGCTCGGGTGACAGGCAGGGCAGGGCACGGCTAGAAGCGGCTGGCCCTGCACCCGGACGTTTGGTGCCACCGCCATTCCGGTTTCGTGCCACACGACATGCGGCGTGGTCCTCCGGCACTGCCCCTTTTCAACCACATACCTGCAATATGTGAACCCTGATCCTGGGCAGACCTGCAGCCTGCAGCTGCAGGCCGCAAGCCCAGTTAGCCACGAGCCCTGCGGGCCTTGTGCGCCCTGAAGGCCTACCCTCCAAGCACCTTGCCAATGTTACAACCGTAACATAGCACCAGCAGCAGGGCGGCTACCTCGGGTTTCTCGCTCTGTCTCTCCCGCACACCGACTGCGCACAGCGCGCGCTCAGAGTGGGACCCGTTCGGGCGCGGATGCCGACCTCTGCTTTGTGGTGGTATGCAAGGGACGGGACAGGATGCGAGGTCCCGGTGACAGGCGTACAACGTCGACGGCGAGCTCCCCCATCTCGTCCCCGGCGCACCAGGCCGTCGTCATCCACCTGCTGGCCGTGGTCAGGGTGGCCAGGGCGCGAGGATTACGTCCACGACGTCGCTTTTCCGATCCTGTTCCCCCGCACTCCAAAACCAAGTGTCTGAATATCGCACACTTGTAGGTGTGTGAATGCCCATCCGTGCACTTGGAGGCAAAAGAGAAAGAAATTCAAAGAAAAAGTCACGGCTTTACTTCCTTCAGGGTACGAATAGGCATTCACACACCTACAAGTGTACGACATTCACACACTCGGGTTTTCAGTGTGCCTCCCGCAAGAAAAGGAAAGCAATGTGACTCGACAGACCCAAACGCGCAAACCCATAAGCCCATTTACACACGGCAGCGTTCGCCCTGTGCTTTAGGGAAGGGGGGGGGGAGCTTTTCTTTGTAGTAAGCAGTTGCGGTCACACTTCGTTCTGTACAGCTAGCAACCTATACATTTGGCAACCTTTTTTTAACAGTGTACAATACAGGCAAGTTTACGTAGAACTTTAGATAACTTGGTTTGTTCGATTCCAGATGTTTCGTCCGTGGGAAGAAGACAGTTCAGGAAAAGATCGTAGTCGTAGTCAGTCTAATCAGGAAAGTGATTCTGAATCACTTGATCACGAGGAAGAGGCAAAAGGAAAAGATCGTAGTCAAAATGGCAATGAGTCTGATCATGAAAGTGGTTCTAAATCACTTGAACACGAGGAAGAGGCAAAAGGTGAAGGTAAAAAAAACCACATTGTTTTAATATCATATTTTTAATTCATATTTTTAATGAGGCCTGTGAGCCACGCTCTGAGTCCACTATCAGAAATAAACCTGTCAGGTGCGTCTATATGACGGTCCACACACGTTTGATACCGACAATAGCGTAGGGTTCGTAGTTTTCCGGAAAAATAAAATAGGTGGAAAAACAACGGATTTTTCCGATTCTTTTCGGAAAAATTGGGAAACAATTGTTCTTGCACAGAAGCAAGCTTTGGATAAGACATGGGTGATATAAAAGTACTTTAATATTTAGCTGAAAATGATGCGTTGGTATTTTGGAATACGCAGTACGTGAAAATCCCAACAAAAGTCGTAAATTTAGTTGTAGTTGTAGGAATTATACTGTTTAGCGTCAGAATAAAACGAATTCCGACATTAGCTGAAGATAACGATCGAATGTTAGAGTTAAATTATTAGGGCCTAGACACATTTTCATGGCGCAAAACGTCCAAAGCAAATCTAATTCTTCGTCCCTCATTGCGCTGGGGGAGATTTTTCGCGTGTTTTTCACTGAAAAGGTTAGATTAGGATAAATCAATTTGTCCAATTTGTCTTATTTTTCCAGTTTTTCGACCTCTAAGATTTTTTTCTGAAAAAAAAGCGGATTTTTTTTTCTAAATTTTTCGGAAAAAAATCCGACCGGGCGAACCCTACAAAGTCTAACGCAAACCGCTTTTTTGACCGCACGATTTCTCATAGTGGATTCAGAGAGTGGGGTGCCCTAGCGGTCAGAGCTGGAAGCAGCGCCGCCTCTCAGGCCTCAATAAAGCATAATTATTTTTATTCAGAAACTTATTTCTCCAAATATTTGCATAACTTAAAAAAAAAAAAAATGAATTCCAGCCCGACAAACCAGCGTGCGGTTATTTAACTAAGTAATTTCATACCCTGATTCCTTAATTTTAGGTACTAGTAAGAGACTTAACACGTTTGACGCGAAGAAATTCCTTTCTGGTAGAGGCTACCCTGCTTATGCAAACTCCAAAAATAAGAAGTCAAACTTCAGACGTCAGTGCAAGCCTTACCTTTTGAAGGATGGAGTTTTGTATTATGTAGGACAGAACGACCCAACCGAGGAGATAACTGCAGAAAGAGACCTAACGAAATACCGTGTTGTGGTTCATGGAAAGAAAGAAAGAAGTGATCTGATGAAAAAGATGCATGAAGGGTTGGACAAGGGACCGGAAGCAATATCTTTGTCATCTCACATTGGAAGAGATAATACTTATGAATTATTACGGCGACGGTACCACTGGCCAAATATGTGGCAAGATGTGTCCATCTACTGTAAGGTATGCGACATTTGTCAGAAGGTCAACCCAGCGGTTCTGAAAGTAAGGGACGTTCTCCACAATGTAGGAGTCCCGAAAAGAGTGATGGCTCAAATTGGCATTGATTTGTGCCAATTACCCCCAGCCCTAGGGAAAAAGTATATTGTTGTGGCAGTTGATTACTTTTCTAAGTGGGCTGAGGCGAGAGCTTTACCGGACAAATCAGCTGCCGAAGTTGCGCTTTTTCTGTTTGAAGATATCATAAGCAGGCATGGCTGCGTGGAGACAATAATTTCGGATCAAGGTCGTGAATTTAACAACGCAGTCTGTGCTGCATTGATCCAGAAGACAGGAGCAAAACACCGACTGTGTCGTCCATACCATCCACAGGTTAGTTTCAAGAAAATTTCACTGTTGTGCAAATCTATAGGGTGAAGTGTAAGAGGCACACACTGTGTTCAGAGTCTACTATCACACACTCCAAATCTAAGTGTGTGCATAGCACACTGTTGCAATCACGGTGCATCGGTATGCACAAGCCGCGCGCTGCGCGTATTTCAGTTTTTGTGGTATATTATCTACACAAGCTCTAAAAATTAATTTTTGATTTCACGATCGAATTTCTAGTGTAGTAGCTAGCGCTAACGCATTTAAATACACATTAAATTCGTCAATTCGTATAAATAAATACACATTAAATTCGTCAATTCGTATAAATATGCGCATAAAAGGTGACACATTTTAGACGAACTTAATGTGCCTTATGCGCATTAAATAAAATTTTAAACATGGCAGTGCACATTAAATTCGTCTGAAATGTGTCACCTTCTGTACGCATTTTAATGCGCATTACCAAATTGGCAAAACTGATGTAGTTTGTATCTTTATAAATTTTATTTATTAATTTTGATTATAACAAAGTATGTCGTTTGCTTCCTTTACAGGCCAATGGTTTGGTAGAACGTCTCAACCAAACTTTGAAGAATGCCTTACTGAAGTCTATTGGTGAGAACACAGAGAGCTGGCCTCTTGCACTTCCAGGCGTGCTCTTTGCGTACAGAGTGGCAGTTCAAAGGTCAACCAAGTTTTCTCCTTTTTATCTCATGTACAAAAGGCAGCCCGTCCTTCCAATTGACCTTAAGGCTCAAGAGTCCGAATCTACAGATGATGAGGAAGATTTGGATGGCAAAAAATCAAGTTTTGAGGATGGTTCTGATGAATTTGATGCAGAAGAGTTTTACAGAGTATTGCACGAATCCTTGAAGCTAAAAAATGTTGTCGAAGATGCTGTAATGGACAACATTAAAAAGGCACAGGAAGAGCAGAAAGCTCAGTACAACAAGAAGCACCTCACTGGAAATGACTGTTATGTTGGACAGTTAGTGCTATTAGCTAATACCAAGCAGCAGCAAAGGAAGGGAGGAAAAATGGACCAATTTCCCAGAAATGGGCCATATGAAATAGTTGAGCTGCGTTATCCTAAGGGAGCTGTGCTTAAGAACATGAAAGGGCACATTCTTAAGCAAGTAATGCCTTATGCACGACTGTACCCTTACTACACAGATCCCAGGAAAGGTATAACTTATGACTTTTTTATGTTTATTATTTACTTTTTAATACAATCTAACCCTTTTTTCTTATTTTCACTAGACAAGTCCAAAAATGAGAGAGGAAGTGAGGGTGATGACGATGAGTCAGACGAGGAGCAGCCCGGTGGCAAAGGCTCAGACAAGAAACCCGAAAAAGGTGAGATGAATACAATTCAGTGTATTTTCTTGATCAGTCTGCCTATACAATTTTACGTTCGTCATTAATTTATTTTTTAATACAATGTATCACTTTTTTCTTATTTTCACCAGATAAGTCCAAAAATGAGAGAAGTGAGGGTGATGACGATGAGTCAGACGAGGAGCAGCCCGGTGGCAAAGGCTCAGACAAGAAACCCGAAAAAGGTGAGATGAAGACAATTTAGTGTATTTTGTTGAGATCAGTTTGCCTATACAATTTTACGTTCGTGGTTAAATTTTTTTCATAACATCTAACACCTTTGTCTTATTTTCAGTAGACAAGTCCAAAAATGAGACAGAAAGTGAGGATGATGAGTCAGACGGTGGTGGCTCGGGTGGGGCCGGATTCAATGATTCCGACGAGTCAGATTCGGATGCCAATGGAAGTGAGTAGCTTGCACCGCGTAACCTAACATAAGGGGGCCGTTTATATACTACGTAGTTCATTTTGGGGGGAGGGGGGGTTTAGCCTTGCACTACGGTCTGTCACGGAGGGGGGGAGGGGGGATAGGCGCTGTTCACGTAGTATTCGTCAAATTCCCGTTTTGCACCACCAAAACACCGCGTCGTTTCCTCTAATTCGTTCAATTGCTCCCCTTTCGACTAAAATTTTGTCCGTTTGGCGCCATCTTTCACCGGTTGGGAGCTAGAGTGGGTTTTTCGACGAAAATCCGGTGAAATGACTACGCTGTACATACAGACGTGCAAGGAGGCGCCAAATCGGAAAATGACAGAGGAAGTACCACCCCTGAAACAACACATTTTAAATCTACAATTGTCTTCGGATTCACCGTATCTTTAAAAATTCTGTAGCTATTCTAGTGGGCAAAGTGTGGTTTTACTACGTGACCCGGGGGGAGGGG